TTTTCTTTTCTTTCGTTGGCTTTGGGAGTTTTCTACGACAAAAACAAACCTGCTATGGTGTACAAACAATAGACTATATATATATAAATCGCATAGCGAGAAAAAGAAAGAAAGAAAGAAAAGAAAAAAAAAAGATTTGAATATGGATATCAAAAAAAAAAAAGATTTATAATTTCCAGATGAATTTTACTCATTAAACATATTATTATCTCTATTCACTTTCTTTTTTCTTTTCTTTTTATTATCATCATATATATATAAATATTCCATTCTCTTCTCTTTGTGTGTATATATTCTACTTCTTAGACGTATTCCATCATATTATCTCGTGGACGTTTCTTATGTAGATTCCCACCACTACTACCACCATCATTATTATTATTATTGTTGCTATTCATATGAGTTCCTCTTCTCATATTTCGTAATTCCTCCAATCGAGCCCGCAGTCCAGATCCCAATTCCCCAACACCCATCGCTTCAAACATATTCACAGACCACTCCAACATATCTTCTGCAGCTCCAACAATAGGAAATAGTTTCGTTGTACTAGATCGTAGTTCTCTATCCTTTTCAAACCGTTCCCGTACCGTTCGCATTCCAAGTGTCTCTACTAATCCTTGTAAAAGCCATTGAATCATAAGACGTTGAGAAACATTACTGTTAACAATATCAAAAACATACAGACACTTATGCCATGGAATAGAGTTGGTTCGAAGTAAATGGGTATAGATTTTACAAGTATATTCAATCTGTTTCTCTTCCAAATCTTCTGCATTTTCATATCGTAATCGAAATGCCTCAGCAAAAAATCCTTGAAATTTCGCATTACTTTTACATAATCGTTCTGCTACCATTCCATATACATTTTTATAGGAAGACTCTTCACAACATCCCTCAATCACCATAAAACACACCGTTCGTTCTGTTTGTGGTTGCATGGTTTTGAGAATTTTATGTACAACCTCATCTGCACGAACACTACTGCGTAAAGCCATGTAAACTTCTTTCCGTACTTGTCGATCATGTTCATTAATAAATTGTTTCGGTGTCTCTGCAGAAACCCCATTTTCTTGTTGTTGTTGTTGTTGTTGTAGTTGATATTGTTGTTGTTGTTGTTGATATTGTTCTTGTTCTTCTGCTTCTTCATCTGCTTCTTCTGCGGCGGCTACTTGTTCTAATAATTCTGTTTCCCAATTTTCACCCAAAATAGCTCTTCTCGCCGTTTCATACACTTCCTCATGAGCTTCATACTCCGTATCCAATACAAATCGATCTAATTTCTCTTCTGCATTCATTTTAGGACCTTCTTCTAAATCCAAATCGGAATGACATTTCTGTTCATTTAATTCTACTAATAATAAAGATGGTGGGATAATTTCTGTGGTGAACTTTACCCGTTCCCACTCTTGTACTTCACGTAGACAAGACTCTAATAGAGTTTGGGCTCGTGGGGAAAGTCGCCAGGCATCACTGTCCATTGCCAACATATCTCGAATAGGTGTTAAGACGTGTTCATGAAATTCAGCGACATTACGTTGAGACATGGATCGAAAGGTTTCTCGAAAAAGTGCCGTTGCTTGATCAATATCATCATCCTTATTATTATTATTATTATTATTATTATTAATATTATTATTTCCCTCATTATTATCATCATCAGAGGAACTTCCAGAAGTAAGATGTGTGAGAATAATTTGATAAATAACATCTACGTCAAGAACGTTAAATATATACAACCAAGCCAAAAAACGACTCACAGATCGAAGTGCAGTCCAATCTTTACGACGATAAAACCGCCACCATTGAATAATCAATCGCTTTAGTAATAATAAACCAATAGCGGAGAATTCCTTATTTACACAACTTACAAGAGCAGCAAAGACATTTGTTAAATCTGGATCTGCTAATTGAGCTCGCATTATACTACGACATAAAAGACCACGACCACGTATAATATTCTCACGAAAAAGTTCCGTCACAGACACTTGGAGATTATCAGCACTTACGCGGTTAATAATACCAGTGATACTACGACTAAGAGCTTGCCAAGCCTCACGTTGGGCGGCTTCATTAGACATATCATGAATATCCGTTTCATCTACTCGCTTACGGTGGGGCGGTACATATCTAGACATTGAATATATATATATCTCTCTCTCTCTGTGTGTTTGTGTGTGTTATTTCTTCTCTTCTTTTCTCTTTATTCGATTAAATCGTTAGTAATATATAGAAAGAAAGAAATATCTAAACCTATTTCTATGTGTTTCTGTCTTCTCTAGAACACTCACACGGATTATAAATGACTACAATTAATAAACATATATATATATATATATATATATATATATATCAAGAGCAATATGAGAGAGAAATAAAGAAAAAGAAAAAAAATGAAGATAAACATATATAAATATACAAAAAATAAATAGAATGAGAAATCCAAAAAAAAAAAAAAAAAGAAACGGATCTTGTCGCTTCTTTCTTACTTCTTTCTTCTTTTTCTTTCTTCTTTACAACTTTATGACCTTGACACTACACTTCCACTTGTCTCACTAAGATATCCATGAAAAGCCTGATAACCACGCTCTAACACAAAGGCAAACTCCCTTGTGTCCTTCTCATTCAATTCATCTGAGGCATTCATCGTATCTAACTTCTTTTTCCACATGAGAAGCCGTTGAAAGAAATCCTGTTCCTCTACATTCAATCTCTTTAATCCTTGAATAAGATCTGTAAGAAGTGTGTAGAGTTGATCCACTGCCGTTTGCTGCAATTTAAGAGAATCCATTAAAGTAATAAAATACTGTCCACATTCCAACACTAATCGTGGATTTACACGACCTGCTTGTTGTTGTTCTTGTTGTTGTTGTTTTGCCCCTTCAAAGCCAAGTTGAATACGTGTGCGGGCCGCTGGGCACTTGGAGCCGTAATTCTCCCAAAAGGAGTCAATCGTGGTATAATAAGGATTACTTCCCTGTTCAAGATGAGAAACGGTGGATTTATACTTTTCTAATAAACGATGAATGGTGGTATCGTATTGTTGTTGGGTAATGAGATCTCGCAGCATTGCTTTTTCAATTTTTTCAATCGCCACAATAACAGCAAAGAGATCCGCTAAATACTCCACATGCTGCCGCTCACCTGGAGAAATTGTAAAAGCCACTTCCATTCTTTTTTTTCTTTTTTTTTCTTTGTTGTTGTTGTTGTCGCTATTAGAAATGATGGTATTTCTGAGAAACAAATGTTCACCTCAGAGAAAAATTATCTAACGGCGTGTTGAAATGAAATTAAATAAATAAATAAATAAATAAATAAATAAATAAAAACGCACACATACACAGATGAAGAACAGAAAAAGAGAACAAATACATTGAATATTTACCACACCTTTGATTATTTAGTTTTCTTTTCTTTTTGTTTTCGTTCGCTCTTCTCTTGACTTTTTCAAAACAGTCATTGAAACTCACATATTACTGTGAGAAAAACAAAAGAAAAAAAAAAAATACATCTTCAGAAATAACGAACGGATTTTTTTTTTTTGAAATTCTTCTTCTCTTTTCTTCTTCATCCATAAGCAATGATCAATTTGATTTTTTCTTCTCCTCTAAAGTACTGGTTGTATTATTCTTATTATTATCATTTTCATTATTATCATCTTTAACAACCCATCGAATAAACATTATTTTTGCCCCTTTTAATAAACCATAAACACTTTGTAAGGCATGAAAGATATTACGAGGCGCTACAAAAGATAAAGCATTTAAAATAGCTTCATATGATTCTTGTGTTTGTGGAAACCACCATAAATCTCTATGAAGAATAGAGCTGGGAATACAATCCTCATTAATACATCGTACATTACACATCTCTCGTAATCCAAGTACACCATGTGTTCTTCCTATTCCACTATTCTTCCATCCACCCCATGGAGCTTCACTCATCCCATGTGAATAGAGATGATCATTAATGGTCACTACACCACTGTGTAATTGTCGAGCCACTCGACGGGCATGACTGTGATTACGAGAGAAGACACTATTTGTAAGTGCAAAGGCACAATTATTGGTTAATTGTATTGCTTCTTCTTCTGTCGTAAAAGGCATCACAGGAATTAATGGACCAAAGGTTTCTTCTTTCATTAACAACATATCTGGAGTTACATCTGCAAGTACAGTTGCGGGATAAAACCATCCATTTTCTACATTTCCAATGGATTTACTTTGAGCTACTATACGAGCCCCTCGTGCAATGGCATCTTCCACTTGTGTACATACAGTCTTTAACTGTGCAGCTGTGGTGAGAGAACCAATATCCACTTTCGGTCCATCTCTATTACCAGAAGAAGAAGATGAAGAAGAACTATGAACATCTGGACCATGACGAAGTGCTCTTGTCTTTGCAGCGAGAAGATTAAGAAATTCCTCATAAATAGAAGCATCTACAAATACACGTTCCACACCTGCGCAGGATTGTCCGGCATTTTGAAATCCCGCCCATAAGGCGCAGTTTACTGCCCGTTCTAATGCCGCATCGGCGAGAACAATCATCGCATCTTTTCCACCAAGTTCTAATGAAACTGGTGTGAGTGTTGGGGCGGCGTGTTCCATTAATCGACGGCCTACAGACACACTACCAGTAAAGAAAAGTTTATGAATACCCGCTTGTAGAAATGCAGAACCGGCTGTTTCTCCAGGCAATACAATATGTGTAAAGAGACCAGATGGAAACTCCCCCGCTTCTATACATTTTTCAATAAATAGACCTACATGTGTAGTAGGAGTTGCCACCTTTAAGATGACAGCATTACCTGCCATTAAAGCCATAATAACATCTACAAAGGGAATGGCGAAGGGATAATTCCATGGTGAAATAACCCCCACCACACCAAGAGGAATATACTCCAATGTATTAGACTTATTTGCAAATAAAAGATTTCCACATGAGAGACGTTGTGGGGATAATACTTTTTCCGTATTCTTTGCATACCATTCACAAGCCATCACACATGGTAGAATTTCTGTAGCCAATGCATCTTGACGTGTTTTTCCATTACATTCTGAAATAATCTCCGCTGCCCGTTCGGCATTATCCGCAAGAAATCGTTTCATCTTTTGTAAATGTTTGGCTCTTACTTTAATAGGAACAGATTCCCATTTTTGTTGGGCTTCACGTGCATTCTTCACAGCTTCCATCACTTCTTCTACTGTGTTAAGGGTTACTGGCTCTAGCTTTTCACCAGTTGCAGGATTTATTTGTGGAATAGACATTTCTTTTTTTTTTTTTTATCAGGTATACTCACTAATAATAACAATAAAAAATATCGTCTACTATATATATATAATGGAATATGAATATGCTCTTTTTTTTTCCTTTTTTTTTTCTTTAACTTTCTTCTTCACACGTCTCTTTCACTCTCTGAGTGTGTGTGTGTGTGTAGGGATCCGCAACTAATGAAGACTGTAGTGTCAATTTAAATCACTATTTTCTTTCTAAAGAAAGGGGATGAAATCCTTACAAACAAAAGAAGGAAAATAAAAGAGCGTAACTGCAAAAACAAAAAAAAAATAAAATTATAATAAACAGATACTTAAACCGATACCCTTTCACATCTACTAAAATTCTCTATACCTATTATACATATATATATATATATATAAGTGAAATAAAGAACCACTTCTCATCACTTATCTTCTTTTTAAAAAAAAAAAAATAATTCAAACTCAAAGGCGAAATGCATCTCTGAATGGTGGCAACTCATCCTCATCCACTTGAGCTGCGTACTTCTCACACAAGACTCCATACCGTTGACGGGCCTCAGCGGCATGTGAAACCCCAAACCGCAATGAAAGTAAACGATCTAATGGCGTACGAAGTCGCCTTAAGGCATCACGACGTTTCTGCAGGACAACTGGTGATTCCCGAGGTAATGAAGATAATTCCCCATTATTATTATTATTATTATTATTATTATTATTATTATTATTATTATTATTATTATTATTATTATTATTAACAGTAGATGGATCAAAGGTTGTATAGTTGGAAATTCCCATTAACAATTCATCTTCTCCCATTGCCGCCTGTTTTCGCCGTTCTTGTCGTCGTCGTTGTCGTTTACGTTCTCCATTTTCATCATCCTCTTCTTCATCATCTTCATCCTCATCATCATCGTCTTCTTCTTCGCCTAATTCCGCCTCATCATTTCTTTTTTGTTCTTCCAATTCACGTAATTCCTCCTCTACATTCTGTTGGGCCTCACGATCTTCTTGATCTTCCAATTTCATCATTTCCGCACGAATATCCACTACACTAGTAGTAGTAGTCGTAGTATCAAACTCATTTTCATTCGAATTGTTGTATTTATTATTATTATTATTATTATTATTATTATTATTATTATTATTATTATTATTTTTTCTATCCTGTGAGGTCTTTAACTCTTGTCCTCCTTCTCCTTCTCCTTTTTCTCTTTCTTCTTCTTTTGGTTTTTGTTCATTCTGATGATCGACCAACACAGTGGCATCTTCATCCAAGTCATGAAAGAAACTTCGTAATCGCACCGGATCCGATAAGGCTGCCAAAGCAGCACTTGTATCTTCATATGTATCTTCCACACTAGCCATGGCATGAAATTGACCACCGCGAATAACAACATTATTAAGTTTCTTTCGTTCTCTCGCCTTTTGTAATATACTTTCTTCTACAGTATGTTCACTAATAAGACGGTAAATTGTGACTGGTTTGGTTTGACCAATACGATGACATCTATCTTGAGCTTGAAGATCCATAGTTGGATTCCAATCACTATCGTAAAAGATAACTGTATCTGCACCTGTAAGATTTAATCCTATTCCACCAGAACGTGTAGATAATATCATACATGTAATACGATCATCTTCATTAAAACGATCTACAAATGCTTGACGTTTTTCTGCAGTTGTACTTCCATCAATACGAAGATATGGTATACCAATAATAGCTAAAAATCGTTCTAATATATTTAACATATGTACAAATTGTGTAAAGATTAACATACGATGTCCTTCTCGTCGAAGTTGTTTAAGAGAACATTCAAGAAACTGTAATTTTCCACAATCATGAATAAGTAATCGTTTATCAGGAAAACTAAAACAACGTCTTACATGTAATGGCCATAATTCTGAAAGAAAGAAAGATCCATCAAAGACCCTTTTTTTAGGGTCAACATATTTTTTACTATTATAACCTGTATAGAAAGAGGAAGATGGCATTGCTAATGCTAATAAAGGAGCTAAACTCTTTCGTGTATGAGCACAAAAGGCATGATAATGTGAAACTTGGAAAAGACAATGTAATTTCGGAGGAAATGTTGCCGCTACTCGAGGAACATAAACGGCAACTTTACATGCAATAGGCATAATAGCAGAAACACGTTGGGTGAGATTTGGTCGAAGAGCTATTGGAATACGTTTATAAAATGGTCTATCTACTATATGTAGAGAGGGTGGATACCATATACAAATAGAAGCTTCTAAACTACGGTAACGTTTATTTTGAATAGATGTTGTCATTCTTCTACGTTGTTGAATACATGCTTGTTGTTGTCGCATTTCACCACTTAAGATGGACCATAAAGTATTACTAAGATCTTCATGATGTGATTCTATTAATGTTTCTGGTGTTATTTGTTTAGGCCAATGAAAATGATCTGGTGAATAACGATGAAGTTCTTCTGATTCTCCTTGTTGAGTGAATACCTTTTGCTCTCTCCATGGTAGATGATGAAGAAGATGTAAAACATGTAAATAAGTACAATCTAACCAAGAATCATCAAAATAAGAATCTTCTTCTTCTTTTTCTTGTTCTTTTCCCCATGGAAGTGATACATCTTCTATACAAAGACGCCATTTTTGAAATCGGTAACATCCACTATAATCATTATCTCTTAAAAGTATATTTCGTGGTACCAACATTGTAATTTCACTAAGATTATCTAATCCCATTGGAGAAACCGTTCGACGTTCTTCAAACATATCAGGATGATTACATACTTTACGTAATGCTAATAATACTCCTAATACTCCACCGGCTCCTCCACGAATACGTTCTTTAGTTTCTGTGAGTTGCATATAATCATCATATAAAAGTCTTTGACGTCGTGAGAGTTGACACATTACAACTTTTTCTGTTTTTGATGGTAATTGCGATTCCACATCTTTCTTTAATCGACGTAACATAAAAGGACGTAATAAGGCTTGTAAACGACGTACAATTTCTTCATTTAAAGAAACTTTTCCAGTAACCATATCTTCCATTGGATTACTAAACCATTCTCGAAATTCCTCATTAGAACTAAATGCTGAGGCAAAAGGTAATAAAAAGTGAAAAAGTGACCATAACTCCATAATAGAACTTTGTAAAGGTGTTCCTGTTAATAAAAGTCTATATTCCGCTTGTAAATCAAATAAAGATTGCCATTTTTGACTCATAAAGTTTTTCACTTGATGGGCTTCATCTAAAACAAGAAATCCCCATGGACGTCTTCGAAAAATTTTTCGTTCTCGTACAACAAGATTATAAGAAGTAATACAAACATGAAAAGCATCTTCTCCCATCCAACCTTTACGTAATCGATGACGTTCTTTTGGATTTCCAATATAAACTAATACTTTTAATGCCGGACACCATCGTGTAAATTCTGCCTTCCAATTTAATACTACTGTTGTGGGAACAACAATAAGATGTGGACCCCAATCATTACGATATTCTGCAAAATAAGCTAAAAGGGCTATAGTTTGTACAGTCTTTCCAAGTCCCATCTCATCTGCAAGAATACCATTTAATTTCTTTGTATATAAATTTGTCATCCATCGTAAAGCAGAACGTTGATAATCCCGCAGTGGACGCCGTCCATCTTGGGTGTCAAGAAGTGAGAGAGAACTCTCTATAGAATGTGAATTTACTTTATTCTCCTTCTTCTTATTCTTCTCCTTTTCCGCCTGTATATGACTTTTACTACCACTATCACTATTATTACTACTATTACTACTAGTAGTAATAGTATAACTATTAGAATCTTCATTCTTATCATCTTCTACTTCATCATCGCCTTGTAAAGCTGCGATTACAGCTGAATTATCCGCATCTCCATCGGCTGATCGGCTTCTCGCATCTGTAAAGATACTATCTAATAATGTACGTGTGAGATTCTCTGCCTCACGTAATAAATCTTCTTGTCGTCTTTCTGTATGCCTTCTTTTCACCTCATCAAATTCCACACATAAAAGTTGTTGAAATACATCTGCCCGGCGTGTCCATTGTTTCTCAATCGCATTAAAGAGTTTATTACCAAGACGAGCCCGAGAATCTTGTTGTTGGGCACGAATACGTTCTTCTCGACGGTGTAAGTCTTCATGATAACGTGTGAGATCTCGTTGTAGGGCTCGTCCACGGGCCTCAGCACGGCGGGTGTCGGCCTCACATGTATGCACACGGCGTAATGTAGATAAGACCACACGTTGCCAAATAGGAAGAATTGTTGTGGGAGAAAATGTAAAGGAAAGTGGTCCTGCAGCGGCGGCATTCACTGTTGCGATTCGACGTCTTTTATTATTATTGTTATTATTATTTTGTTGTTGTTGTTGTACAAGGGCTGGTAATACCACATCTAGGGAATTATTATTATTATTATTATTATTATTATTATTATGGATTGTGTTGTTGGTATTCGATACGGGATTATTAGTTCCGTCCTTATTCGCATTTACATCCTCACGCCGTCGTTTACGCATGTGTACGATTATATATTAGTAAAGAAAACCGTAGATACTATATTTTTTATTATTTTTTAATTCTTCTTTTCTTCTTGTTATTGTTAGTGTTGTTTAGTCGTGTATTCTCTCTCTCTCTCTCTCTCTCTCTCTACCTCTCTCTGTGTGTGTGTACGTAAATAACGTTCTTTCCCCCTACAATGAGAAACAACGTGCGCTGCGACTTTTTTAAACGTGCTCGTGCAGCAAGAGCTATATATAGATAGATAAATAAAGAGAAAGATAAAGAAAAGAGATGAAAGTAAAGTAATAAAAAAAAGACAAATATTGCCATACCATACACACAGCAAAGAATAATAATAATAACAATAATAATAAATAATAATAACTAAAGCAAACAACTAGAAAATAATAATAATGTTCCGCATTACTTCTTTTTTTTTTGTTCTCCCATTTATTAATATAATGATTTCCTTTCACCAAAGATAGTACACAATATCGAGAATGATCATTTTCAGCTTTAGAAGGAGAAACAAAACAACAACAACAACTTTCCACCTGAACTTTCAAAAACAATTACACAAACAAACAAAGGCAATCCTCAATAATAATAATAATAATAATAATAATAATAATTAATAATTAATAATTAATAATAAATCTATTATGCTCCGGAGAGAAGTCGAAGTCTAAAGATAGTCTCTGGCTTCTCTGTTTGATTAGCCTCCATGGCATCCAACACCGCAAGTACTGTGAGTGAAAGACCATCATATCTTTGCAGTGAATGCCCTAATCGTAATAATACCTGCGAAGAGAGAAGTGCATGTACTATTCGACTGGCATCTCCTATTAATATATTGGATTGATGGAGTTTATGAAGTTGTTTACATACAGCAGACATGATAGAGTTAAGACTCTCTATATCAAAGAGAGACTTGGATGCCGGTAAAGTGGCATTCGCACGAAGTAAGTGTAATAGTATTTGTACTTCCATATTTCTTTCTTTTTCTCCTCCTCTTCTTTTTGTTTGTTTTTCTTCTTCTTCCTCTTCCTTTTCCTCTTCCTTTTCTCCTCCTCTCATTGTTGTTTTTGTTGTTGTTGATAATAATAATAATGAAAATGGTGAGGAAGATGTAAGGCTGTGAAGAGCAATTTTTCGTAGTTCTGCAATATGTGCCGTTTGGGCCCGTGGCATTCCACTACTGTGGACTTCATAACTCATCAGCCGCAGTATATGAGCCGCATCTACGCCGGTGAGTGAATGACTATTCAGAAGTGAAGAAATATCTAAATATACTACTATACGTGAGTTATTATTACTAATATTAATATTATTATTATTATTATTATTATTATTATTATTAATATTAATATTATTATTATCATTATTAATATTATTTTGTTTATGAGAGGTATGACTACTGGTCGTATCATGTGTGGATTCCATGAAGGAGAGTGTAGCACCGAGTTCATGCGCAAGTTCAACTGTATTTAATAAAAGATACATGTCTGTTATGTTTTTTCTTTCTTTTCCATTTTTTCTTTTCTTTATTTCTTTACAAACCCGTGGGATTTGCACAGCGGCGAGAGAGAGAAGAGCCTCACGAGAGTCTTCACACATCAAAAGTCCTCTACGTTTACGTTTGACGGCCTGTTCCATCCATCTACACAAGGCTGTACATATCCCTGTTATTTCCATACATTCCACACGATGTAAATATTGTTTAGATGTCTCTCGTAAGAGTCTCTGAATAATATTATTATTATTATTATTATTATTATTATTATTATTATTATTATTATTATTATCAATATTAATGGGAAGAAATTCTTCTAAAGTGTGTAATGTACACATAATCGTTATACCATGTTTACGATACCAATCCATATTACGATTTCCCTTTAAATAATGTAAAACTCTCTCTATTAATTTCATAATAATATGTATAGAATAAGATTCCTCCTTCTCTTCTTGTTGAGATAGAGTAGTAGCTTCTATTAAATTAGTAAGAGCTTGTAAAAGCATTGGTACATCATCTGCAGTGTAATCACCAAAACGAAATTTTTCTATTCGATGTAAGAGATTTAATACCAGAGGATGTTTAGGTTCCCATCGCATTATTCGATTTTTAATATTTTCTTGAATTTCACTTTTCATCTCTGATCGTGTAGAGAGAAGAAGAAATTCTTTTTCCTCTAGACTTGGTACCATTAAGATAGAAATTGCATAAAGACCTTGTACACATGTACGTAAAGAGAGTTCCTTATTATTATTATTATTATTATTATTATTATTATTATTATTATTATTATTATTATTATTATTATTATTATGAGAGAGAAAAGAGTATTGAATAAGATCTTCCATACATGTATTTAATAATATATTATATACTAATGTTCGTGTACACATACTCATAGAATAGAATACCCATGACCATACGGATGGTAATGATCCTTTCATATGATGCGTGAGTTGAATCCATTTAGACACGATATCTTTTAATTCTTTTTCCAATGTATTTTTATTTTTATTTTCTTCTCTTTCTTCTCTTTGTTGTTGTTGTTGAGATTGTATAATAATAGATACAATTTTTTGAGTTAAATGCCAAACAGCCCCTACAGCTATTGGATCCACACGACCATGTGGAAATTTCCATGATGTATTGTAAAAGAACTCCATTTGCTCCACTAAACTCTTCAACACCATTATTAACAATGTACATTTTTTCAATAATAATAATAATAACTCCTTTATTTCTTCTTCTTCTTTTTCTTCTTGTTGTTGAGATGATAATAATAATAATAATGGTGAATACCATTTCGTTAAGGCGTGACTCACCGCCATTGCAATCTTCGCAACATCATAAGAGTTGAGGGATTTACAAAAGTTATTCTTTTCTAATACCGACAACACCCGCACAACTCCATGTGAGAATTCACTTTGGGGAAATTCCGTAAGGAAATCATGAAGAAATTGTGCATATCCACCAGGCACAATAGTATCTATATGTAATTCTGTATAAAAGGATTGATATAATTTTGTTAATATCTCTTCCGCACGGTTTATATTATTATTATTGTTATTATTATTATTGTCTTTTATACTCTTCTTATGATAATAATGATTATTGAGAAATGGTAAGAGATGAAGGGCTTGAAGAGCACTATTTCCACGTAATGTAGATAAGATCTGTGCATCCACAATATACTCCGCCGCTGTGAGAACTCCACGAACACGATTTATATCTTCTTCTCCTAATATAGAAATATTTACTTTTTCATTTTCTCTTATTTCTCCAACTTCCCCTTCTTCTTTTACTTGTTGTTGAAATGGGAGTAAAAGAACATTCTTCTGTCTAGCTGTACTTGTATATGCAAAGACACTAATCATTGCTAGACGTAAAGCCATATCTGTTGGATGAAGAATAGTCCATTTATTCAATTCATCAAAGATATGATTAGCCGTTGTTTCTTTACTATATCGTCGGCCTAATTTCATTATCACAACTGCTGCCTTTTGGGCCACACGAACAGAAGCGGTTTGTGGCGTTAATTCTATTAAACGACTAGCGAGTTTTTCATGCACAATTGGCAAAGAAGCGGCTTGAAGAGATAATAAGGCATTTAATATATCTACTACCCGTTCAATTGGTACAGTCATGCGAGTAGAGGCGGCAACGGCAAAGGCACATTTCTCACAAATACTTCGCACCTCATCACTGCGATAACGGAGAAGATGTAAAGATTTTAAAATGAGAATCGCATCTTGGGTGTTGAATGGACGTTCATATCGGGCCACACGGTGAACGAGGAGATGTAATATTTTAGGTACTGTCATGCGTTTTTTTTTTTTTTTTTTTTTTTTTTTTTTTTAGGAAAAAAAAAAAAAAAAAAAAAAATGCAATCTAATCAAATAGTGTATATATATATATATATATAAATGTGTGTCTGTGTGGACAGTAATTCTCCTTTTTTTTCGTTTTTATATTTTTTTTTCTTTAATTGAATTTAATCGAAATAATCAAATGTTTTGCTTTGACGTATAGGTTTAATCTAATTTACACAACTATAATAAAAGTATATATATATATATATATATAACTATTAATACTTACACGAAAATGTGAGAAAGACGAGCTAATAAAGCTCGTAATGACGCTATAATAGAAATATAACACACAAATAGAAACAAAAAAAAAGGAGAAATAAACACACAGAAAGACATATATATATATATATATATATATATAATTCCCTCTTTCTCTCTCTCTCCATATATATAAAAGTATACCTTTGTATAGGTTTTTTTCCATTCTTCTTTTAACTTGTATTATATATTACGCGTTGTACCTTGTCTACCATCTCACCATTTCATTCATTTACACAATCTCTCTCTTCTCTTCTCTTTCTATTTATCTTCTCTCAATAGAGAATGGAATCATCTCCACACCTTGGCCCACCACTACACACATACACATTGGTATACCACTACTCTCCTCCTCTTCTTCTACAGTCGTTACCACCATACCACTAACACCACGTATATTTACTCGTCTGTGCCAATCTACACAAAGTTCCTCCTTTACACTATCGTCATTCTCTTCTTCTTCTTCTTCTGTGGGAGATTTTGAATATACCCGAAGAAATGTAATACGTTCATCATTCACAGCAATTGCAATATCTTCACAATCACCATCATCATCATATGATTTCTTTTCTTCTTCTTTTACTTGTTGTTGTTGTTGAGTGGAGATCCAAGAAACACCACGACCAGCGGTGAGACCCACACGCACAGTAGAGATAATCTCCACTCTTGAGATATTTACATGCAGAAGCATCACATCACCAGAGTCCATGGCTGCAAGTACACGCCAAATAGGATTCACCTCATCTTGTTGTTGTTGTTGTTGTTGTGTTATTATTTTTCGTCCAACCGCAAGGGCATTCACAGCAGATTTTGCACAAACGAGAGGTGTCGATATTCTTTTACGCTTCACATCACATACCGCAATGGTACCATTTGTATCCCCTGCAATCACAAGGCGTTTGATTGGGCAAAGTGTCGCTATTGCCGTTATTGGCTTTGCTGCTGTTGGCATTAACATTATATTATGATGATCACAACACCCATCCATTATATTAGCAAGTGGAAATACTTTCAATCTTCCATCACTACTACCAATCACAATATCTATATGAGTAGCACATATAGAAAGAAAACGAGGAACACAATGAATATCTTCTTTTCCTTTTCCTTCTTGTTGTTGTTGTTGATTAAAGTGGGCAATTACACGCCAATCATAATGTAGATCCCATTCCCATAAGGCGAGAGTGGCAAGACCACCAACAGTTGCAAACCGTACATTATTTTTCTCTACTCCACAGAGAGTCATAGCGAGAATATTGGATTCATGCGGTCCACATAATGTAATGGGAGAAATCATCTCTCTACTACTTCCTCTTCTTTTCTTATCCATATGCATAACGGCATTCTTATTATTATTATTATTATGATTTACAGCTGATATTACTGTAATCATAGAGTTTTCACTTCCACAGACAATTTGTAATGCTGGTGTGGGTAGAAACAATACGGTATTGTACTCCTGACCGGTAATTACACCACCGTGGAGAATACGAGTGGCTTCATTTCTGTTTGTATCCCACTCTGCCTGTACACCATCGGAACAATGACAAATAGAAACAGGAAATTCACTATTATTATTATTATTATTATTATTATTATTATTATTATTATTATTA